TTTTTTTTGGGGGGGGGGAGAGATTTTCACTGTAGGGAGCGTGCGCTCGCCAGACAGACAGAGAGAGACATAGAGACAGAAAGCAAGAAATCACCCCCCAGGGGGGATGGTCACGCCGCAATCCCTTCTCCTCCATTCTCCTCTCGGGATCTTGGGCACGCATGCACAGGCGCCCGGCGTGAGTTTTAATCCACCGGGTCCGGGACACGAACCACGGTCAACTACGTGGGAGTCCAGCGACATAGCCATTACACTAACTGCTGGTTCCCTGTTCTTGCAAATTTAAAAACACACACAAACGCCCAATCTCAGCCAGATGAACAAGGTTAATATCCTGTCTGAACTAAGCAATCCTTCAAATACAAAACACATGAAAATGCAGTTGTCTATCCATGCTAACCAAGGCAGGAGGCTTTCCAAGTTATAGAGAGGACTATGTAAATGAACGCCATTGGGGGTCTCTTGGAGGATACGATTTGACAGCAGATTACCAAACCTGTGGTTAAGTTAGGCCTCTATGATGGGGCCTCACCAATTGAGCTTTAGTTATAAAGGGAGGTCATTCTGAACAATCTAAACAACAGAAAGTGCTCATGCTGGGTGCAGTGGTGTGTGCCTGCAGTCCCAGCTATTCAAAGCGCAGAGACAGGAAGATCACAAGTTCAAGGCCAGTGTGGCAACACATCAAAACTGCCTCTAGAAAAATGTTTTTAAGATCAACTAGTAATGTGGTGATTGGGGTGACTGGATCCCACATAGCCAACGGTGCGGTTCAAATCCTGGATCTGATGGCTTGAAAAACACACCAGGTGTGTGTGCGTGCATGCCCAAAAATCCTGAGAGAAGTGACTGTGGCACGGCCACCACCCATGGGGGAGGGTGCTTTCTCATTTTCTCTCTCTCTAACTCTGTCTCTCTTCAGCACTCTTCTTCAGTGAGTGCACATGCCTTTTAGCAAAATTTTTTTTAAGTAAATGAATGAAATAAAAATAATTTTACTGTTTTTAATTAGGGGCCAAGTGGCACAGTGCTAGACTCCCACATTGCTGACACAGTTCAAGTCCTGGACCTGGTGGCTTGAAAATCACGCCAGGCACATGTGCATGTGTGCCCCAAATCCCAGGAGTAAAATAGAGGAGAAGGAATTGCAGCATGGCCATTCCCCCAGGGGTGATTTCTCACTTTCCCTCTCACTATCTCTCTCTGCCTCTCTCTGGCAAGCACCTGTGCCCTTATGGCAAAACCCTTTAAAAAATGTTTTCAATTAAAAATAAGAAAGAAAACATTCAATGTAGCATATTACGGCTAAGTGTCAGCAAATGTTAAAACAAAGGTGCCTAATGTATCAAGCAAAAATAAAATAAAACTTGAAAAATTAATTAATTGATTCCAAAGAGGCCTCTGAGTGAAGAAAGATGCTGTGCAGGAGAGGACCCTGTGCATTAGCTCAGCCACTGAAGGTGAATAAACAGGTGTTTCTCAGGTATAATGCTCCTCATGAACTTTTGTTAGAAAGACTTTTGCTATAGGGCATGTGTACTCTCTAGAGAGACAGAAACTGAGAAATCTCCCCCCGGGAGGATGGCCACACCACAGTCCTTTCTCCTCCATTCTCCTCTTGGGATTTTGGGCACGCACGCACATGTGCCAGCGTGAATTTTAAGCCACTGGCTCCAGGACTCAAATAGCAGTCGACTACATGGGAGTCCAGCAACATAACCACTACGGTCATGAACGTTTAAGGCACTTGTTCCAGAGGGTTCTGAGTGTCTTAGCCGGGACAGAGCCTCTCTTCCCCAACAGACATGCCATGTCCTGTTTGTCAGAGCTGGGCCTCGGGGAATGGACAGAACTGGCTCCGGCAAGCCTCAGCTGCCGTAGCGCTGGCCCAAGCAGAAGCGTGTCTCTGCTCTCATTTTCTCTGGCCCGCCTCACTGGCTCTCAAAGAAGCAGTGGCGCCCTGATTCTCTTCCTGTGGCCAACTTCTTCTTTTCTATTTCTTCTTTTCAGATTTTTCCCACAGAGTATGTGCACTCACCAAAGAAAGAGAAAGTGAGAAAGCACCCCCACGGAGGATGGCCATGCCACAATCCCTTCTCCCCCCCATTCTCCTCTCAGGATTTTAGGTGCACACACATGCACACTTGGCATGATTTTCAAGATGTCAGGTCAGGATTCGAACTATGGAGTCCACCACGTGAGATCTCATGCCTTAATGACCTCACCACCTGCTGGCCCTCCTGCAGCCTATTCCAAGCAATTTGCTGTCCATGCGTGATAAAAGCTCTGTCAAGCCATAACAGTCCTTGAGTGGGCCTAGCAACCTATCCTGTTATTTTTCCCCTCCCCACTCACACCTCCATATCAGAACTGGCATTCACACCAGGCCAGTCCTAAGTTATCAGATAAGCAGTCAGTTTATTCTCCACAGCAGACAGAAACTTGGAAGGCCCCAGAGCTGCAGAAGCATGGGCAATGGGAAGCCAAAGTCTGGGCTTTTACTTCCCAGTGGGTGCTTCCTGCACCCTCAGCCCTCCACGACAGCAGCCTGGATCAGCACCAGCTCCCCAGCGATAGGCAGAGCCACACCCCACCCCGGCACTGGCCTCAGGTGGGTATGCCTGGGTTGAGGTGCAAAAGTTTTACATTTCCACCCTCTGCCACCTTCACCACAGGCTTGGGATTAATTGAGCTGGGTCAGAGATCCAGGCGTGGTTAAGGACAGGACGCATTCATGAAGGATGGGCAGAGAGAGAGGAAGACATGGAGGTAGAGAATCCCCACAAAGCCATAGGTGTGCAATTGGTACCAAGGTGAAAGGGGTGTGGGGCATGAAGGTCCTCACCTTGGGGTACAGGACAGGGTTGAATTTCAGCCCCACTGCATCATCACAGAAAGCCTGAGCAGAGAGAGAGAAACACACAGTTCAGGGACCCTGTCAATAGAACTACCCGGGATGCTCTGAACACAGAGAAAAAATCAAAAGGGGGAGAGGAAGCAGGCAGGGTCAGAAGCCTGGGTCCCGATTCTGATTCTGTGTGCCCAGGCCAGTCAACTAACCCTTCTAGGGTTTCCTGATAAAGGGAAGGGAGGGACAAGATGAAACCTGAGACTTGTCTCCATCCTGACCTGAAGACAAGGCCAGAGGTCATCCAGTCCCACTCCCACCAAAGGCAGTCAGCACAATCCTACCTGCTATCCCCACTCCCAGAGTGAGACTCCCACTCAAGCCAGCTGGCCAGCCTTCTGGACCCCTGTGCTGTGCTGACTCCATTCCTAACTTTCTGGTCCCAAAGCATGACATGGGTTGCTCCACCAGCTAACAACTCCTTACTCAAGGGGTGCTCGGTCTGCATCATCCTTCAGCCCAACTCAGGCCTCTCTGCTGTGGAGGTTCCCCTGACCACTCCTGCACACCCCTTCTCTGAGGCCCTGCAGCACTTGCCATATCTGGCTCCGTCTTACTCTTCCTCTTGTCTCCTGAACTGGCGGTGAACTATTTGGGGCAGAGACCATTCTTAAGTTACACTGTCTCCAGAGCTGTCTCAGCCACAGGGTGAGCTGGGAGGGTGTAGGAAAGAAAGGTCATCTGCCAACAACTCTTCTCTACCCCCCGTCCGTGAAGTCAGGGGCCAAAGAGTAGCCGCCTCCTTCCCAAGGGCAGAGCCGACCAGGGACATCCTGACCCTCAACTCAGAGTCAGCCTGGGCTAAAAGGCAAAGCCACCTTTTCTTGGAATTTGGTTTTTACCTTTGCAATCTGAGGGACGCTGGGCAACTTGCTCAGGCCAGCCAAGGGGATCCGCTCGTGCACCGTCTTCAGTTTGGACCTGCACATGGGGATGGGTGAGAAAAGGGAATTCACAAGAAACAGAATCAATGAGGAAAGTGGCTGAGATCACCAGACAGGGACACTTGCTTCAGCTCTCCCTGTGGTCAGATCTGCCTCTTCTCAAGCAAACACATGCTGGACAGCACACTCAAAGGGTGGGACAAAGGAGTCCTACTAGAGGATCCTGAGGGAGGTAGAGGTTTAAAGAACATGCCGAGAAAAGTCACTGAAATACAAGAAATGAACTGAACTTTTACCAAAAAAAAAAAATCTATTGGGTCATCAGAGAAGTCATTATGCATTTTTTGCATAGAAAAATATGTCATGACTTTTCCAACAGCCTAACAGTATTTGAAAATCTGAATTTTCTCAAAATATAAATGGGATGGAGTCTGATTTTCAAAAGAATTCACCATGAGACTAAATTTAGCTGGTTCTCCTGATTTATTCAGCACGTCATGAAAGTGCTGAATTTTACTGAATGCTTTTCTGTATCTGCTGAGATAATCATATGGTTTTTAATCAGTTAACCTGGTGGATTACATTTCGGCTGAGCTACCTTCCCATTCCACGGGTAAAACGCCACTTGCTTATGATGTATTATTCTTAAAACCCTGCTGAATTTAAGTCATTAGTATTTTATTTAGATTTTCAATCTATGTTCAAATGCAACACTGGCCTATTTCGTTTCGTTTTCTTTTGTTTTCTTATACTTCCTTTGCCAGGTTTTAATACCAAGGTGTTATTTCAGCCTCATAAAATTGCTGGGCATTTTCTCATTTTTTAAATCATTTGTATAATATACAGATTTTCTATTCCTTAAAGATTTGCAGAAATTTGTCTGTGATATTTCTGAGCCTTCTCTGTGTGTGTATGTGTGTGTGTGGTGTGCATATATATACATGTATATATATACACACATGCACATATATGTTTTCTTTTTTTCTTTTGTTTGCTATAGGGCTCAAACACTGGCCAGCAGGAGAGAGAGAGAGAAAGTGAGAAAACACCCCCTGGTGAGGATGGTCACTTTGTAGTTCCTTCTTCTCTAGTCTCCCCTTGGGATTTTGAGCATGCACACACCCACACTTGGCATGATTCTCAAGCCACCAGATCCAAGACTCAAACTGTGATGTTGGCCAAGTACAATCCAGCACCGTAACCTCCACACCACATGCTGGCACCCCTGTTGTATAGTCTACTTTTGGCTACCATTTCAGCTCAGTTCTTTTTTTTTTTTTTTTTTTTTTTTTTTTAAAGGGTTTTTTTTTTTTTTTTTTTTTTTTCCCCTGAGGTTTGCTATAGGGCACGTGCGCTCACCAGACAGACAGAGACAGAGAGACAGAAAGCGAGAAATCACCCCCGAGTGGGGATGGCCACGACGCAATCCCTTCTCCTCCATCCTCTCGGGATCTTGGGCACACATGCACACGCGCCGGGAGTGAGTTTAAGCCACTGGGTCCGGGACTCGAACATCGGTCGATTAGTGGGAGTCCAGCGACATAGCCATTACGCTAACTGCTGGTCCCCATTTCAGCTCAGTTCTAAGTTTATTTAAGTCTCACACCACAGTCCCCTCTCTAGCCTTCCCAGTCAGTCAGGTCGACCAGAAAACCAAATCCAGAACCTTCCATATGAATTCAGCATTGCAGAGCAGCAGGTTACTGTTACAAGTCAGATCTATTTAGTTCTTCAGTGGGAAACAGTTAAGTCTTCTACTCCTCACTGAGTCAAGTTTGGTAATTTATGTCTTTCTATACAATTATCCATCAGACACATTGAGACAAAGTTATTTTTGGTGTTCTCTTAAGACTTCATCTCTACCTATAGGTGTGCCCCTCCTTCATTGCTATAATACTATTTGCATCTTTGTTTCTTTCAATCTGCCTTAGCTAGAGTTTATTAGTCTTTTCAGAAAGGTAGCATCTGGGGGCCCAGCAGTTAGCATAATGGCTATGTCGCTGGACTCCCATGTAGTCGACCGTGGTTCACGTCCTGGACCTAGTGGCTTAAAACTCACGCTGGGCACATGTGCGTGTGTGCCCAAGATCCTGAGAGGAGAATGGAGAAGGGATTGCGGCGTGACCATCCCCCCTGGAGGGTGATTTCTGGCTTTCTGTCTCTCTGTCTCTCCCTGTCTGTCTGGTGAGCGCGCACGCCCTATAGTGAAAAACCTCTCCAAAAAAAAGAAAGAAAGAAAGGTAGCATTTGGTCTTGTTGATCATGTCTTTTTTTAAAAATAAATTTTGGTTTCTATTTCATTTGTTTGTTCTCTTTTTTATTTTTTTTCCTTCTATTTTCTTCGGGGTTTTGCCTACTGTTCTTTTTCTAACTTCCTGACCAGCATACATACTTATGATATTTATTTTCTTTTACAAGTGCATTTTCGACTATATATCTCTCTCTACATACCACTTTAACTGTGTTCCACATCTTTTAATAGGTAATACTTTCACTCTAATTCACGGTGGTTTTTGTTGCTGTTGTTTTGTTTTGTTTTCAAGAGAGATTTTTTGCTATAGGGAGCATGCACACTCACCAGAGAGACAGAGAGAGAGAGAAAGTGAGAAATCACCCCCCGGGGGAATGGCCACGCAACAACCCCTTCTCCTCTCAGGATTTTAGGCATGCATGCATACACACCCTGCATGAGTTTTAAGCCTCTGGATCTGGGACTCAAACCGTGTTTGACTATGTGGGAGTCCAGCAACATAACCGTTACACCATCTGCTGGTCCTTTCATTCAGCTTTAAATATTTTGTCAGTTCTTTTGTGATTTCCTCTTCAGCCCATGAATTATTTAAAAGGGCCTTCTTCTTCTTTTTTTTTTTATAAATTTGCCAGAGGGCACGTGTGCTCACCAGAAAGAGAATGAGATTGAGGAAATGAGAAAGTACTCCTACGGGGCATGATCATGCCAGAATCCTTTTTCCATTTCTCCCTCTTTTCAGGATTTTGGACACACATATATACCCGGCATGTTTACCCAAGCCACTGGATCCAGGACTTGAATAGCACAGTGATCCTAGCTGCCTTAACTTCAGGCCACAGACTGGTTTCCAAGTCTCCTTTTAAACATGCCAAAAATTACTTATTTTTTCCAGTCAGTAATTAAATTTATCAACATGATTTACTCATCTCTTGTCACTTTTTAACTGTGTCTTTTCTTCTGGGTTCTCTCATGGCCAATGTAAAAATCCTTTAGTAATTATTTCAGGAAGAGTCTGAGTGATACACTTCCTTCATTTTTTTTTTTTTTAATGTCTGAAAACAGTTTCATTTTGTCTTTACTGATAGTGTTTCTGTGCATAGAATTTTAGGTTAAAAGGATTAGTTTCTTCCTTCTTCCCCTTCTGTTTTCAATAATTTAAGGATTTATCCCGTTGTCTTCCAACAGCTATTATGGCTAAAGAGAAGTCTATTTCAGCCTAGTTGTCATTATGTCATAAATAATCTGTCTTCATCCTTGAGTAGCTTTTACACTTGTTAAATTTTTATTTCTAGTGTTTCACATCAACATGTCTAGAAATAGTGCTTTGTTTTAAAAGTGTACGTGACTGCATGGTATATGTTTTCTTCAATGCCAAATTAGTTTCAGCTATTAACCTTAGGAATATTTGTTCACTCATTTCTCTATTCTTTCCTTCTGGGACTCCTCTGAGACAAATCTGTTCTCCATGCATCTTATCTTCTTTTTCATATACTTTATCTCTTTATCTGTGTTGTGTTCTGGATGAGTTTCTTGGGACTAGTTTCCCTTTGACAAATTCACTCTTTGAACAGACTGGATTTTATCCCATGAGCGAATAATCTTATCTCCAATAAATCTAATTGTTTCCTTTATATACCTATGTGTACTCGATTCATTTCTCTGTATCACAATTTACTATCCATTTTATAGAAACTATTCACTCTTTGTCTTTTTAGGATCTTAAATATATTTATTTTAAGTCATTTTTGAAAGCATACCATTATTTGCATTTCATCAGCAGTAAATCCATGTCCCATTTGTTGATGTTCTTGGCTGTCCTTCTTAAAGTCAGTGTTCCCCAGGTGTTTTGGAATTTTCCACTCACTTTTCTTTATTCTCAGTGCAAGCCACACTGGTTCCGTTCCCATCACAGCTGTTGGTTTCACGGCTCTGGGGGCACCATTCACATTACGCAACGTGGTGGCCTGGATTGTCACCTGTGATCAGCACCTGGCTCATCACAGCAGCCTCCTGACTCACCTTCCTGCTTCTGGCCTTGCCCTTCCTCCAAGCCATTCTCCTTATTCTAGCCAGAGAGATCATTCTCCAGTGCAAATCTGATCATGACATCCTCTCTTCAGTACCTCTTTATAGCTCTTAGCATAAAACTCAAGCTCCTAAACTTTGTCTATATAGAATCTAGCATTTTCTTACCTCTCTACTCGACACACATTCCACACTCCAGTTGTTTTGAAATTCTTTCAGTCTCTTATCATCTATCTTTTGCTTCATGCTCACAAGCCCACAATGATCCAGGTCCATAGAAAGATAATGACAAGTAATACCAAAAACAAGAGTAAGGGTACCTAAAATGGGCCCAGCCTCTGAGCCACAGGAGGTAGCATACTGAACAACAGCAATGGAAGCCACATGGCCAACTATGGATTCAGATCTGTTGAACTATGGATTCAGGTCCAGTCAACCTAAAACATGCATTTGCCCAAGGTCCTGACAAGCCAAAGGGCAGGTGGAGGAGACTGCACTGTGACTGTGTTGATGGTGCCTGTCTCCACCCAGCTCTCTCTGGTACATGTGCTACCATGAATAAAATAAACTAAAAAAAAAAAAAAAATCCCTAGAATAAACACTTTCTCTGGCCAAGCAATAAGATAAAAGCTTATTCTTCATAGTATCCTATCACCACTAGACAATTTGGCACATATCAAGACTCAGTTAAAGAAAAAGTGAATGAATAAATGATACATACACGAATTTCCTAATATTAACAATTCTTACATTGCTAAAAT